TTTTAATAAATTTAGAATTATTGTAATATCACAGAGTATGTTCTAGACCACAATTGAATTTAACCAGAAAGCAAAAACAATACAATATATGAAAAATTTCTGAAAACTTGGAAATTAAACACAACAATTTTAAATGACCCATGTGTCACATGCTAAGAAATATTATAAAGTACTTATAACTGAATGATAATGAAACTACAACATATCTGCTGCTAGGAGATGTTTAAAGTGAAATATATGGCTTTATATACTTATATTTTAAAAAAGAAAAAGTTCTAAAAATCATTATCTAAGCTTCTACTTTAAGCTTGGAAAAGAAAAATAAATCAATGTAAGTAAAAGGAAGGTGTTGGAAAATAATGATCTATGGCTATTTTCAAATATATACAGTTCAGGTCTTTCTGAGCTGGGTAGGTGGTACCTGGATTTAAAAAATGATTGAACAGAAACCCTAAAAAGAGAGACCTCCTGAGAGTTTTAGAGACAACTTTCCCAGAGACATTTTGTACATTCCAAAGAGTAATAAAACCCCAGAGATCTAACCCTCCTACCCTGAGGGAAGATTTGATTACATTCCAGAGTAAAAAAAATTTTTTTCTCCGTCTCTGGAGGGGAGGAGGAGTAATGTAAACTGCCTTATATGAACTCTGAAAATCATCATTTTAGAGTTTCTTTCCTGTGTACTGTATGTAAAGGTGACATCTGCCTTAATTGTGTAACTTTATGAGAAAGTGGGGTATAGGAAAGCCTACACAAAAAGTTTTGCCAATAATTAAAAGCCTACCTCTGATCTAGAGAGCTTTTCCTATTCTAATAGAATAAATATAACAATACATGTTTGTGTGTGTGCATGCACAAAAGTAGGATACCATGTTAGACCTTTCACTATTTCAGACTGAATACTAAAAAACAAGAAAAATATAAATGAATATCAATTTAAAGGGGTAAACAATAGCAAAAATCAATAAAAATAAAAGCTGGTTATTTTAAAAGGTCAAACAAATTGATAATCCTACATATAGACTGATCCTCTACATATTCTTCTAAAAAGAATAGAGAAAACACAAAATAAATATATCAGGAGTGAAACAGATGACATTATTACAGATACAAAATACTTGGTGATACATTTAATTAAATATATACAACAAATTCCTGAGAGAAACTAGAGATGGTCTAAATAAAAGAGAAATAAACCCCATCGTCTCAGCCCCAAACCTCCTGAAACTGATAAGCAAGTTCAGCAAAGTCTCAGGATACAAAATCAATGTGCAAAAATCACATGCATTCCTATACACAAATAACGGACTTAAAGAGAGCCAAATCAAGAACAAACTTCCATTCACAATTGCCACAAAGAGAATAAAATACCTAGGAATACAACTAACAAGGAATGTAAAGGACCTCTTC